AACCACACACACACACACACACACACACACACACACACACACACACACACACACACACACACACACACACACACACACACACACACACACACACACACACACACACACACACACACACACACACACACACACACACACACACACACACACACACACACACACACACACACACACACACACACACACACACAGACAGACAGACAGACAGACAGACAGACAGACAGACAGACAGACAGACAGACAGACACACACACACAGGTGACCCTCACACACTCTCTCTTTACCTGCAGGCAGCGTGGAGGGTTTACGCCACGAACCTGAGTCGCAGCGACCTCAGCTCCACCTTCGATTACTACGAGAGGACGGGGTCGGCGCCCATGTACAGGTACGAAACAACCACAATCAGTAATATATCCATAGCTGTAGCTCCGTTTAATCCTAAATGTATATATCCACATGTAGCAATGAGCTTGACTAAATACGTCTCAGGTAAGTTAGACTCTTTATTCAAACAAAACGTATCGGTACAAACACATATTTTCAAAAGTCAAAAAATGATATTTGCTCCTTGATTCTTTTCTCCTTCTAATTACCATAATAAATAACATATCACTAAGAACAAAGAAATACATTGTTATATATACACACACATAATATATCAACGTATACACTCTAACATATGGCTCCTACAATCACATCTATATCACATTGATGGTAGTAACACAGACTAACTGATGTTTCCCATGGCATTGTGCTTCAGGCTGATTCCTCCTCTCAACCAGTTGGATTTATTGAGGAACCTCAAGAATAAATCTGGACTCTCCTTCAGGTAGGAACTGTTTAATGTCCCTTTCTGTCTTTGTCTTTCAACAGATCTATAATCTATGGACACTCAGATTATCGTCCCCCTTGTTTTACATTAAGTAGAGAATTGTTATTCAAATCTTCTCTATGTAGAAGTAAATAATAACTGTCCGTCTGCAGGAAGGACGTCCAGTCTGAGCCCTCTCCCAGGTTAGTGTCTCGCTCTTTATTACTGACTAGTCATGGGGTCAGAACCCTGAGGGACCCCACCAGTAACTGTGAGGATGAAGCATAGCGTGGTGCAGGAATGAGTCCTGAAACCAGGAAGTGAGTCAGCATTTCTCCACTTCCTGTTCCCTGGTCTCAGAGCCAATGGGATCTCTCCATAGGATTTAGGAAACTATCTGAAATAAGGTCTGTGGTTGAGACACATTGAAGAGACGGATCACGTTTTGTTCTACATTAAATCATCAGCAGTGACCCCACTGGTGATTTCTGAAGAGTGGACGTGTCTGAGAAACGATGGTTGTTACCAAGTGGCTGAATAGGACTACAGAAGTCGTGGAGGCCGTTGTACGTCATTACGCCGAACACGTAAACACTCCTCTAAGTTAGTTTCTGTTCTGCTTGAGAGCAAGTCCCTGCCTCCTGCAGACTGTTCAAACAAACGCTTCAACTCGTTCCATCTAGAATCTGTGTGTTTGAATATGGATCTGAAGTTGGTGTGACGTTGAAGTCGTGCTGCTGGACTCGGCTGTAGCTCCTTTATAGCATAACGTTAGCATTTAGCTTCTGGACATTAGATTTATGATTAGAACATTATGAAAGTAGACATGTGGAGATTATCCTGAACTAAACGTGCATTTATCAAACAGGTTCGTTTTCCACAGACCTTATTTTTTACAATATTCCAAAATCCTCTGGAGAAATCCCGTAGCTTCTGGTGGAGGGAACAGCAGCTTCCTTCAGGGTCGAACTATAGAAATACGTCCTCCCTGCACCGCTCTATAGACACGTACAGACCTGGTGTTGCTCAGTTTGTGTGTACAGACAGAGAGAGATACCGTTTCCCACAATCCAGAGGAATACAAAATACGAATCAATACAATCAACAGACACATTTGTACATATGCACACATCAAAGACATGAATGAAAGCACGTGGCTCAGCTTGATAGGACTAACCCTGTGTGTGCAGTCAGAAGGTCAGTCTGAAGGAGAGGGTCTTCTCTTCCCCCCGGAGCTCAGGGGCCAAAGGGAAAGGTTCTCCGCAGAACGGTGAGTACTGTTTGCAGAACACGTTCACCGTGTTCTCTGCATAGTTTTTGAGCGGGACACTGTGAAGCTGACAAATGAGCGGCCCGACCAAGCAAGGAGGCAGAGCGTCCAAAAATACAACCCGGTGTGGGAATTTATTAAATCATACACGTGATATG